GGGGGATTGGGCATGAAGTTCAAGTTATATATCACTAAACTAGAACTGCTAGAGCTAACATCGTATAACCCAATTGAGATATTATGGTATAGGCTAACCTCTCTTAGTACCTTTTTGAGCACATTGCACGGTAAATGTGAAGGACTAGGCCATTTTATCAACAATAATGAGATAAACTAGTATTTGCGGTGAATTCCCCCGTTAAGTAGCCATGCATTATCATTGGAAACGCCCACTTCTCTGGCAAATAAAGCTCTTTTGATCATTTCTTCGAATCAATAACAGAAGTTTGACCTTACATACGCACAAACCCTCAAGTAAATTCAATCAAACACTTGACCTTCACTCTGTTGTATTCGACCATTGTGTCCAATTGATCCTTTCTACAGGAAAAAAACATTATACATTTAGAATTGATATGCAGTATACATACAGTGCATCACGTTTGGCAGAAAACTAACTGCTTAAAAAGCATATAATCCCTAAAACAGGAAAGTAAAGTGTGGAAGTGAATCCATACAATGAAATAACTTCTACCCCCTTCTGCATATTAGTTTCACGTTAAGCTTGCAACAGCAGCTCACAAATTACAATAATAACAACAACATACCCAGTGTAATCTCACTGGGACTACAGTGGGATACCCCTACCTTGTGGAGGTAGAGCGGTTGTTTCCAATAGACCCTCGGTTGCAGCCCACAAATTTCTAATCCAAAATCAATCAGTACAATTTCCAAGATATAAACTAGGTTGAAGCAATAGTAGTTGAATTCCACAAAGACTACGGTTCGGCGGTTCGGCCTAGTTATAGCAAGTACAGGATACGTTTTGAGCACATAGCAGCACTCTTGATAGAACAAAAAAAACACCAAAACGTAACGAAGATGCTAAAAATTACTCTATCTTCAATACGATATGACCAAAAAGTTCCAAACATTCTCATCATTAACACAACATTAACTCAGTACACTTTAGTCAAATAATCCTTCATCTGAAGCACAATAAACACTAAAAAAAACACAGCGAAAATACCATAGTAATACAAAATAAGGAAACGGATACCTGCAATAGATTAGCAAAACAGAGGTTCTCCTTGTTTGAGGCACCCTATTTTAGGACACTAAACTCAACTTCTGCAACCGTTTGCCTTTCTTCTCAGTTTGCTTTAAATTTCTTTTTTCTAATTTTAGCTCTTTATTGATTTTAATTCGTCTTCTGAGAACGCCGAATATAAGGAAAACGAGGAATGGAAGGGCATTAGCGCAAAAAAGGGGTGAAAAAAAAGCGCTACTGTTCTTTTACCTGCTCCTTGGTATGGTGTGGTTTAGTCCTTATAAAACGCATTCGGTAATTATCACATTCTAAAATTATAATTCGCATTGTAAGTCGCATTCACGAATTGCAACTAATTAATTTACGACCGTTTGCAACTATTTTCCTTCCGTATTACCAATCTGTTTGGCTTTTTTTCAATTATGAAAAATCATTTTTTTAAAGTTTCAGGACTACACCAGACTATTTTTTTTATTTTAAATTTAAAATGTAATTATTTTTCACAAACTATACAAAAGCTATTATAAACTATTAGATTAAGTTCATTAGTTATAAATTAAAATGTAAATATTCAGAATTACACAAAATATGCTATAGATTGTAATTCTACTCTATCATTCAAACATTATTAAGTTGAATTTTGAGAAGCAAAAAGTGACTAACATCTGATGAAAGAGTAGTTCAATTGTTAATAACATAATATTTTGTTCTTGTCCTCTTGACCTAATTTGTCAAAGTTACACTTTTGCTATCCCAATTAGATAAGTTTTCGCATATTGTAATTTCACAATTAAAATGATATCGCTATGTAATATATGATTTGATGCTCCAATTCATTTATGAAATCACATCTCTTTGTAGTCCTAAAGATCATAATTCATAATTACTAGGCCGTGATAACAATTTCTATTGTTGTTGGACGGGCCAAGATCTTAGAAATGGGTAAAACCTCATCCCAAGATCCTAGAAGTCTGTTTCCCTCTTAGCGCGTCATAGTTACTAAAGTGTGACTTGATCTACGATATGGTCAGCTAAATCAGATGATATGTGATGCAATGTTAGTGCGTCATAGCCATCGAGATTTGACTTATCTACTACAAGATCAGCTAAACTAGATAGGTGTCTCGTGCACAATGATAGAGCCCTATGCCATGCCTACTTGTTAAATTCATTTGATTGAGATTTGTGTTAGCAATATTGATGATAAGCTTGACCCAAACAGATTTTGGCCACTGCACCCATCATTGGAACTAGAAAGCAACTAAAGGCAAAACACATTGTTAACTTTCAGCTTTGCTTCGTAATAAAATGCCCCAACTAGTGTCTCTATGTAATAATTCACGAATTCGAGCCATAAAATGCTTCAGGTAGGCTGCCTAAATTACTTCCCTTGAGGTACAACCCTTCGTAAACGCGGGATGTTTTGTGCACATTGCTGCCCTTCAGACCCATGGAGCCAATACATAAGAAAGGAACACATCTCACCCTGCTAACAATGGCTATGAAAGATTAATAATTTTTGGAGCACAGTAAAAGTTTTTGGAGCCACTTCATGTATTTGGAGAAAACCATGCTATATAGATCTCGTTATATATGTTGAGTACGTAAAACTAATAAATAGTGGAATACAAAGCTATTAAGGTTAAACTGTTTGATTTGGTGTATAAACCGAGTGCGACTAAGTATTACTACAAAGTATTTGGCCGTAGCAATACTACTAAGGTTAAGTTGTTTTGAGGCTAAATATTTACCGTAATAACACCTGGCATTATATTCCCAAATAACAATGAGAACCTCATGAAGGTGAGGAAAATACCAAAAGAAGGCTATTCAAGTAATACAAATCCAGATTGTACTTAGCTGTATCACTATTTACATTTTTTGGCTTCACTAATGAATACATTCAACTATCACAAATTACAACAGGGTGCACACTCAGCACAGTTAATACATATGGACTATGATACTGAGCTTTATAGATGCAAAATAAAGAATTCCCCTCAAATTTTTGAAAAAGACAAAGTGAACCTCCAAAATGTGAAAAATAATTAAATTCATCAGGGGAAAGTGCCAAAAGGGTAAGTAATAACTGGAAAAAAAATCCATGATCCCCTTTGCATTTGGATGTGAAAACTTCTTATTGTGACCATTATTATAAAGTTACTGCAGAGTGTATAATACAAGAGTAAGTTCAGATGCTATTCTGGAAAACTAATTACCACTCATTCAATATTTGGAGATTTGATTAACAGTAATCTACACAGAGATCAAATGGATTTGCTTATGAAGAGATTCCAGCTGGAAATAACTTTCAAGACTGAAAATAAAAGTCTACTAAAAGTGACAATCGCGTTTTCTGATTGTGAAACAGCAAAAAGAGTGTTGTAATCTCCATAAGGCCGACTAGAAAATGAGTTCTTTGATTATCATTTTAAATTTCAAAGTTAGTGAAGAATGTAATAGGTTTAAAAAATTACGAGACGAGGGTTTGCAATGCTGCCCTAATTTTACTAAGCGCAGGAATCAAACCTCAAAGAGTTGTGACGTATAACGCACTTCACCTTCTTTTCCCCTTCTCTTTGCAGCAATTGAGGTGCATCTGTCCTCCCCTTGTACTAGATGCTCTGAGACTAAGATGTAGAGAGAAATTAACAAATGCAAAGAGTTATGAGTGAATTAACTAAACTCTGGGTGGAAAACTTCTGACGGAATGAAAGACAAAATCAAGTAAAACACATGCATATGTCATATCTCAAGAAGTAATGGTGTGACTTCACGAAGATGCAACTATTTTTCAAACATATCCAATCATATAAAGGAGGGAAAATAAAGATGAGATGAGATAGGAGTTCGCTTGTCTATCAGCGTACAATTATGGAATTTCATTGTCCTATTTTTCCCCTTAAATGCAGATTGCAGTACAACGATAGAGATTGCTGGCAAAAAACAAACATGAATTCAAAACAGAAAGAAACATGGATCAAGATAACATCATCAAGGACAAAAGACCAGGATTAAAAGATCAGCACCCCATGACAGCACAGTTATACACAAAGCTACCATATCGCTTACGGCCAAGCAAGTCCCATTGTATCGGCCCTTCACGTGGAACCCATGAATTCACTTCGATATATTCTGCACCTCCCTTGGGTCCACCAATTACAATTAGCCTGTTACCACATGCTCGAAAAGCCAAACCCCAACCATACATGGAAGCTGCTCTTTCGGGCAGCCGTCCTATGGTAACCCACGCTTTATTTTGCTTGTCATACTTCCTCACCTCCATGTCAGCATAATCAGCCGCGTACAGCTCATTGTGTACAACTGCCACCAAAGGAGGTGCATCAGATGTAGCGGGCATATCATTCCTAGCAGCGTTAGCTTGCACCGGAGACATGTTTGGGATTTCACGCCACGTTCCTTTTTCCAGATCATACTCCTCCCCACAAGTCAACCGCTTCGATTCGGCTCCTCCAATTCCTCCTATCACATAAAATTTTCCATCCATGAATACGCCTGAACACATCTTACGTGGCTTGTTCATGCTCGGTAAACTCTTCCATGTTCCTGCCTCCGAATTGTAAAGTTCAGCTGAGCTAAGTATATTGCCTTGTGAGTCACAGCCACCAGCTAGAATGCCAATCTCCCCA